TGAGTCCAGGAAAAGAGACCAAAGGTCCATACCGAGCCCAGAGCAGCTTCTGCCCCAGGCTGTGACCTGTGACCTCTAGAGGTTGCTCCCTGGGAGAGTTTATCTGTATAACAAGACAATTTTTGTCGCCGTAGATTTCTTCCCTGCAGCCTTCCAAAAACCTGTCAGCACCTCTCTGCTCGCTCCCAAGCCTCAGCCCCTACTCAGACTAGATGACAGACACCTGGCCTTGAGTCGTCTGTGGGGCTGTAAAGGCGCCTGCACATAGATTTTTACACGTTTCCTATTGTTGAGCTAGCCCAATGTCCTGGCTGGTTTTATGTCAACTTCATACAAGCTAGAGTGTTGTTTTTTTTTTTTGTTTTTTTTTTTTTTAAATCTAAGTTGTTCTATTTACCAATAAAGACTCAGGAGACAGATGTTGGGGTGAAAACCTGCTAAATCAGAGAAGCCGAGAAGCAACCAGCTGACCTTCTTTTCTGGCCAGAGACCCAGCAAGAGAGCATCTTTCCATCTGTCACAAACTAAAATGACCGTGATCTCTAAGTCCCTCCCTCCCCCTTCCTGTGCATCTCTCTATCCATACTCCCTCTATCCATACTCCTGGCTTCTCCCTCCTCTCTATGGCTACTTCCTGTTAACTAGTCACTGGCTCGGCCCCCTGATCCAAGGTTAATTTTATTAACACAGTCTTGGAGTTTCACAGTATGATCAAATATCCTACAACTCTAGAGTCACCTGAAAGAAGGGAATCTCAATTGAGAAAATGCCTCCATAAGATCCGGCTGTAGAGCATTTTCTTAATTAGTGATTAATGGAGGAGGACACAGACTACTGTGGGTGGTGCTATCCCTGGGATAGTGGTCCTGGGTTCTATAAGAAAACAGGCTGAGCAAGTCATGATGAGCAAGCCAATAAGCAGTCCATGGCATTTGCATCAGCTCCAGTCTCTAGATTCCTGCCCTGCATTAGTTCCAGCCCTCACTGCTTTTGATGATGAACTGTTATATGGAACTGTGAGTGAAACAAACCCTTTCCTCCTTGAGATGTGTTTCACTGCAGCAATAGAAACCCCTAACTAAGACACCCCATTAGTCACGTTACTGAGTCTTAAAGAGTAGAGGGAAATTTTAACTCCCTTCTAATCGGAAAGCATCTTGATTGATCTATAGGTACCAATTATTTAACTAGGAAATTATAGGCTTAATGTTTTTGTTTTGCTTTGTTTTTTGAGACAGGGTTTCTCTGTGTAGTTTTGGTGCCTGCCCTGGATCTTGCTTTGTAGACCAGGTTGGCCTTGAACTCACAGAGATCTGCCTGGCTCTGCCTCCTGAGTGCTGGGATTAAAGGCATGCGCCAACACCGCCTGGCTTAGGCTTAATGCTTTGGTCAAAAAGCTTAGAAGCTAGACTCTGTCTAGTGAGTAAAGTTGAGCAAACCAGGTAACTTCTGTAGTTCAGTATTCTTACCTATAAAATGAGCTAGCAATGTCTACATTATCCATGTCCTAGAGTTCTGAGAACAAAATGCAATGACTAAGGCTTTTATAACTTCTGTACAAGGATAACAAACTAGTGGTATCGTTTCTGATCATCCCCTGGGCCACTCCTGGAGGCAGCTGTTTATCACACTTAGGACAGAGTGATATCAAAGAAGCCGGGTCCCTCCTAGGGGTTCTCAGTTCCATTAGTAAGATGACTTAAGAACAGGCTCATAGGGGAGCTTAAGGACAACTGTATTAGGGTTTAAAATAAAAACCCCAAGAGAAACAAGTTGTAAACCCCGGCAGCTGCCTGGAAGAGGGTGGAGCAGAGAAAGAGAAGCTGTGCTGTGTGGGTTAAGACTGCGTGGAGATGAGCTGCATGGCCGACTAGCAGCCACGTGGCAGAGAGCGCAGCTTTAGAGAAAGAGTAAGGAAGCCCAAAGCCCCAGAAAAATACACGTAGGCTCTGGTCGGCACCCAAAAGGAAGACAGAAGAGAAGAAAAAGGAAAGGTTATGCCTTTCTGAGAGTCAGGACTGAGAAAAGTGGGCAGACCCAACAGAGCCTCACCACAGCTGGGGAGCAGCAGCAGAGGGAGGGGATTCAGGACAGGAGTACAGGAGCTCATTGAAGGGATGGCTATTCTCCTACCTCTTCAGCATAGTGTAGGGCGGGCCTGCCCTGGCACAAGTGATTGACCTGCCCAATCGGATTAACCATTGTTTGTTTGAGATAGGGTCTCACTATAGCCCAGGCTTGCTTGGAAGTGACTACGTAGACCAGGCTGGACTGGAACTCCAGTAATCCTACTGCCTTCTGCCTCCTGAGTGCTGGGATTGAAGGCCTTTGACATCACACTGACTCTGGGTTAACTTTTTCCTCATTGAGACTTATTTTATGTGTCTGTGTGTACATATACCCATGGAAGCCAAAAGTGGGTTTTAGATCCCCTGAAGTTAGAGTTACAGGCAGTTGTGAGCTGCTTGATGTGGGTGCTGGGACCCCATTCCTCCATGAGAATAGCAAGCATTCTTAACCATCTCTCCAGCATGCTCGATTAACTCTTAAAGACAGGAGACAAATTTTGGAGCCCACCACCTATGGTGGGACACCTTGCACAGCCTTGATGCAGGGGGAGGGGCTTGGACCTGCCTCAACTGAATGTACCAGGCTCTGCTGACTCCCCCATGGGAGGCCTTACCTTGTTGGAGGAGGAAATGGGGGATGGGTTATGGGGGAAGGCTGGAGGGGCAGGAGGAGGGAAGAGAGGGGGGTCTGTGGTTGATATGTAAAATGAACAAAGGATTTAATAAAACGAAAAAGAGAGGAGACAATGTAACCATCGAAAAATGCTCAGTACCTTTTGTTTATTGAGGCAGGCTCTCATGTAGCCCAGGTTGGCCTCAAACACAATGTATCCAAGATGACCTTGAACTTCTGACCCTTCTGCCTTCGAAACCTCCCCAGTGCTGGGATCACCCCAGTGCCGGGATCACAGGCCTGAGCTGACATTCTTGTTTTTATGCAGTGTTGGAGATGGAGCCTGTGGCTTCATGTGTAAATACTAGGCAAGACCAATGAGCTACATCCTCAGGCCCCTCCATGCCATTTAAGAGGTTTAAAAACACACACTCCAATGGCCATAGTATCAACAAAAAGTTCTTGGGAGGATGATGTTGGATTCAACACCAAGGGTTATTTATTGGACACTGATTTTGCTACCTCCTGGTACCCTACACCAGTCTTTCCAATCTGCTATTTAGCAGTAATGAAATGAACTTACAGATGGTCGTAACATGGCACAGCTAGACTGGGGGTCAGTGGGCCAAGGACAGCCATGTCCCCATTGGCCCAAGCCAAGTGGCTGCATCTCCTCCGGGTGCTGGCTATAGCTCCCTAGCTGGCCTTACTTCTTCACTGTCACTCCATTCTATGCACAGCAACGAGTTTTTCCAACATAAACCACGTTATTTCCCTACCTAAAGCCATGGGATTCCCCTCCTAGACTCTACATCGATGACATCCTTGAGTTGAGAGCATCTCCGTGTTCCCCTAGTCCTGCCACTGTGCCTTGAGAGCTGTCTCCTGAGTCTCACCCCGGCCTGGCCATGTTCTGCCGTGCAGTGTTCTTTACCACCACACAGGATTTATGTGCTGCTATTCATCATGCCTCTGCCTAGAATCTGAGCCTTGCAAGATCAGTGGCCTTGTCTTTCCTGCCTATCTTGGCCTTCAGTCAGCAACACAAGAGCTTGTTGGGTAACAGGAAATGGCCTGGTGTCGATTTCCGCCTTGCCTTACCTACATGACAATTCCCTTGGTTTTGTGACACTTCCTAGAGTCTTTGAGATTCTAAATGGAATGCTCAGGATTCATCATGGTTCTGGATGGGAGCTTGGGCTGTCCTCAACTTCTGTCAGGGAGCGGGAGTAGTCGTTTCTCCTTTGGCAGAGTGCAAATGCTGATCTGACCGCAGAACAATGTTCACGTCCACCTGAGCCGAACACTGTCTCATTTAAAGAAGAGAGGAGCGCTCCACTAGTCAAAGGAAAGCCCAGAGAAAGCAGATCAGAGTGTCGCACTAAGCTACAAGCCAGGCAGCAAGCAGTGCACATGCGGATTTTGAGCAATGCGTTTAGAAGGAAAAATAGGTGCCACTGTCACGGAACTTCCTCTCTCAAGCACTTTCTCTCCTTTCCTACGTCTCCACCTCAACTGTCTTCAAGCACATCTACAATTGCTTGTAATGGTTTCCCTCTCATTTTTCCACCGAGGACTGAAAACAGGGCCTTCCTTGCATATGCTGAGCACAGGACTCCCACCAACCCACACCCCAGCCTGTTCATTTTTGTCTTCTGTTTTCTCCCTAGGATCAATCTTCTGAAAATTTTTCCACGTAATTGTCTTACTGCAAGATGATTTTAAATGTCAACAATGACTACTGAATTCTGAATTCAGTGAAATGGAAATGTGTTGGCGTTTTTGGCTTTCTGTAGACCTTGGCTCTAGGACTGTGAGCACTGGAGTTAGTAAGATAGAACCATGACTCTCACCAAGTGACCTGAGAGTCAGTCACTCGACTTCTCGGAGTTTAGCTCTAACCCCCAACCCCAACTTACAAAAGAGGGCAAGAGGCTGAGGTGTGGTTCTGTGGTACAGCACGCTCAGGGCCCTGGGTTCATCTCCAGCAACCACCTCCACTTCCAGTGCAGTTAGTAATAATCCATCTCATCAGACTGTTGAGAAGACGCTGTGAGGGCCATGGAGGTGCGATGCCGCACACAGGGAACAGCACTTCTCTAGAACTATACATGTGCTTACAACATCAGCTCAATGAAATACCTGTTTTTCTAGACAACACTTTCTACTTTTTACGAAGGTGGAAACTTGAAGAAAGGACTACCCCAAACTATCACTCATTTGTTTTATACTCCACTTGAGTCAGCATAATCTTTATTTCAAAATAACATTTTTATTATATAAAAATGTAAAAAATCCAGCAAAACCGGAAATACGGATGTATTTTCCTGGGCTTTCACATTTGTTGATTTTTATTCGCATCTCATTTTCAACACAATTTACAACATTGTCCCCATTTCCAGTCTGATTATACAAGTGCTAAATGAAAGAAAGGCCGGAAATAAATACATTAAAAAAGAGGCAAAGCTGTGAAACTCAGTGGCATGCAGCAGGTCCTATGAAGGGGGAGAAGTGTCTGAGAAACGAAGAGTGAGTAAGGTAACGCAGGAGGAGTTTCCGCTGGAGCTCTTCAGTCGTCCTTGTCTTTGGCTCCGTGCTTGAGGATGCGTGTGAACTCGATGTAGTTGAAATTCCCCTTTTTGTCAATGGGGGCCTCCCGGTACAGCTCATCCACTTCCTCATCTGTGAAGCGATCGCCCATGGTGGTCAGCAGTTCCCTCAGGTAATCCTCCTGGATGGTGCCTGGAGAGAAAAAACACCGACTCACAAGTACTTCATGGCATGATTCTACGTCAAACCAGCCTTATGCTTCAGCAAAGTTGTCATTCATCTACCACGCACTACAGCCACGGCACACGTAACTGCACCACTGCTTCCCAATCACTTCCGAGGTTTGTATTAATACTAAACTACTTTAAAAGCTTCAAAACAGGGAGATGGCTCAGTGGTTAAGAGCACAGGCTGCTCTTTCAGAGGTCCCGGGGTTTGATGCCCAGCACCCCACAGAGTGGTTCACAATCATCTGTGACTTCAGTTTCAAAGGCTCTTATGTTCTCTTCTGACCCCTGATGGCACCAGGCATGTACTTGGTAACACACACACCCACACACACACACAATACTTAAACACAAAAAAGAAAAATAAATCTTTTTAAAAACCACAGTATAGAAATATAAAGTTAAATAAAAATGAAGTGGTAGCTGCCCAGAACAATAGGCAATGTCGCCCAGACCAGTGGTTCAGGGAGAAGAGCATGGCCAGGAAGAATGGGGAAGTCAGGGGCAACCGAGGGAGACTCCAGGCCGCGTGTGAGGCCAAGCAGAAGACAAGGAGAAACGATGAAGAAAGAAGGAAAGGGAGAAAGGTGAAACTTGAAAGGCTTTCACAAGAAAGCCTACTTCTCCAAAGGGCAGGAAAATGAAGACAAAACAGAGCAAAGCCCGGAGGTAACCCCAGGGACACAGGACACTTCACATGCTTACATTATGAACTTTGCCTTTTAGTGAAACCAGGTTCTCTCAAAGAATAGTTTTCGTTCTCTAAGATTTTACAATGGACCCTAAATTCTTATGATGGTTCCAGGAAGCCTGAAGCCAAATTCAAAGGTGAACAAGATAAGCTGTAGTTTTATGACCTACAACAGGTATGTGAGGAGGACATTTCTGGTGTACTGCCTATTTGAAAACAACAGGGTTTTCTTTCTGTTTTAATCAAAAGAAATGTTTTGCACATTAAAAACATGTCCTAAAATGAAGCTGGACACCAACATGCTAGCAGCATTTACCTGTTGCTTCCTCGTCAAAGCAAGCGAAGGCATTTCTGATGACATCTTCGGGGTCTGTGCCATTCAACTTCTCTCCAAACATGGTGAGGAACATGGTGAAGTTGATGGGTCCCGGGGCCTCATTCATCATGGCATCCAGGTAGGCGTCGGTGGGATTCTTCCCTGAGAGTGCACATTCGGACAAAGGAGAAAACCCAGTTCATTTGGATCATCTGGCTATTGTTATGCTACCAAACATATTTTTAAGAGGTTTTTATGGCATCTTTGTGTGTGCATGCACCGTATCCCATGTGTGCAAGTCTGAGGACAACTTTCAGGAGCTGGTTCTCTCTTTCCACAAGGACTGCAAGGATCAAACCCCACAGGCTTTAAGACATAAGCACCTTTCCACGCTGAGTCCTCTTGCCAGCTTTTTTTTTTTCTTTTTTTTCTTTTTTTTTTACCATTTTTTGTTAAAAATAAAAAAACAAAAAAACAAAACAAAGTCTCAAGTTTTGACAGGAAACATCACACTCATATGTTGTGTGAGTCTGTATTGGTTCATCAGGGGTTGTTATTTTAATACCAGCTATTAAAAAATAATCAACACTAATATTTCCAATTATGATACAGTTGCATGTGAATTGGTATGCTTCAAAATTATTTATAAGCTGATCATTTGGGTTAAAACTATCAGGTCAGTTTGGGACTGGGAACAACTTTTGAATAGTATTAAAGAAAGCAGGGTCAGCCCCAAGTGCTTCTTCTGCATGAGGCTGTCTGGAGTCTTCTTTTGCTTTTTTTTTTTTTGAGAGGGGTAGTCCTCTACCAGGTTGGCCTCAGATCCTCAGAGACCTTCCTGTCTTATCCCCCTGCATGCTGACGGATGAGCCACCACGCCAGACTTGAACTAGGGTGCTCGGTCTTGTTTGTAAAGAGAAACCTGGATCTCAGCTCCTACTGAAAAAACGATTCTTAGGACGGCGGGCAGACATCTCCAGTTCTCCTCACAGGAAAGATCTGGAAACCCGGTTCACCAACTGGCCTGGAGAAGGTGGAAGAACTGGAACTCGGGCCCAGACGGCCTCCTTTAATCTGAACCTGTGAAAGGGACTGGTCAAGTCAGGATCTCAAAGGTCCCGTCAGAGACAGAGCTGACACACACGGAATGGGTGTGCTGGCTGGATCCGCAGGTCTCAGGCAGCATCTCAGACTACAACAGACTAAGAGCTGATGACAGTCCAGTCTAGAGCCGGGGTGAAATTTAAGGAGCGCGTGGACGGCTATTCCGTTGCATGGCAACCCTACCTCACCACACCTACTTAACTCACCTGCACCACAGGAGCGTCTGAGCAGGTAAAAGTAAAAGCTCACTTCCCTGTTTGCAGATCAAACCCAACTCTCTTGTGCATTCGGGGCGTAGAGGGCAGGGATGGCTGTGACCCAAAGATTCAAGAGAGTTCTCGGAGTGAAACAGGAATCTAAAATGGATCTTTTAAAAAATGTGTGTGTAGCGGGTGGTGGCAGCAGCGACGGCATGCACGTTTAATCCTAGCACTAGGGAAGTAGAGGCAGGCCTGGTTTATAGAGCGAGTTCCTGGACAACTACCACAGAAACCACCAAAAACGAAACAAGTGTGTGTGTGTGTGTGTGTGTACCAGTACTCTGGAGCACATGTGGATGGCAGAGGACAATGTCCAAGGGCTCACACAGAAGTCACCAGGCTTGGCAACATGCACCTTTACCTGCTAAGCTATCTCATCAACCACCACTATGGTTTTTAGAAAAAAAAAAAAAAAATTCAATTTCTTTCTTTCTTTCTTTTTAAATTATAAAAGCATTACTGTGGAAATCTCTTTTCCAGGGGTCCATTTTTTTGAGTAACACTGCCCTTCCTCCCCAGGCAGCCATGTTAGTTAGGAAGTGTCCCTCTGTTCATTTGTTCATGACCTGTCTTCCACTCATAGGTATTACCCACAGGGTATTATTAGCTGCATTTGTTACTATGACTTCTGATCTTTTGCACATAGCCACCAGCATGCACGCACATGCACACACACAGACACACATACACACACACATACACCCTTCAGGCTCACATAGACACAATCTACTTAGCTAACAGGAACAGTACCTGCCAGGTCCCCCACTAGAGCTGATGCCCCTTACATGGGGCCCAGTCCCCAAAAGGCCCCTCCTACACCTCAAAGTTTTCGAAGGCTGTTTGGGACAAGAAATGAATCACAAAACAAATGATTCAAGGTGGATTATCATCAGGGACAATGCACAAAGAAGGCTACCTAGAGAAGCAAGCATGTCGTGCAAGTCCTCCTTGTCGATGAAGCCATCCCGGTTCTGGTCGATCATGTTGAAGGCCTCTTTGAACTCTTGGATCTGGGACTGGTCAAACATGGCGAACACATTGGATGTTGCGCGCTGAGGGCGCTTCTTGGTGGTTTTGGTCTTGGCCTTTTTGCTCGACATGGTGGTGGTTTAAATCTGGAATTAATTTAACAACAAAAAAAATACATAATACATAAAGCAAAAAGGGTACACATATACCGCCCCCTAAAGTTAGTAAATAAAAATCTTTCTTTTTCTTTCTTTCTCTGTGAGTCTGCAGTGTAGTCCTGGTTGGCCTGGAACTCACACAGATCTGCCTGTTGCTGACTCCCAAATGCTGAGACTGAAGTTTCGAGTCACTATGCCCAGCTAGATTAAAAATATCTTAATATAGAAATTTACTTCAATAGGGCAGGAGTAAGTACATCCAAGCTTTATTTTCAATATGACAGTTGAAGTGAATTTAAAAAGTACAGGTTAATAGAATTTATCAATGTATTTTGCATCACATCTCACAAGACTTTTTCTTTCTTTTTTTGTTTTTTCGAGACAGTACGGGTACCTCTGTGTAGCCCTGGCTGTCCTGGAACTCACTCTGTAGACCAGGCCTGCCTCTGCCTCCTGAGTGCTGGGATTAAAGCGTGCACCAACACTGATCAGCAAGTTCTTTTAAAGATTTGGCTTTTATTTTTAAATTATGTATGTATGTGTTCATGTCTGTGTTGGTATGTGCACATGAGTACAGGTGCCCACAGAGGCCAGAGAAGGGTGTTGGGCCCCTGAAGTTGCAATTACAGGCAATTGTAAAAGCTCCCATGTGAGTTCAGGACCCAAATTCAGGTCTCCTGCAGGAGCAGTGTGTGCTCCTAACCACTGAGCCGTATCTCTAGCCCCAAGACTAGCCTCCGCCTCCCAAGTGCTGGGATTAAAGGTGTATGCAACTACCACCCAGCTCCCAAGACTAATTTTTATCCATTGGAGTTTATAGAAATATATAAAACAGGGGCTGGAGAGATGGCTCAGCAGTTAAGAACAATTCCAGAGGACTGGAGTTCAATTCCCAGCACCCACATGGCAGCTCACAGCTGTCTGTAACTCCAGTTCCAGGGGATCCAACACCCTAACCCAGACATGCAGGCAAACACCAACACATATAAAATAAAAATAAATAAGTCATTAAAAAATATAATTAACAACAACAGGTAGCTGAGTACTATGTGCCAAGCAGGTCTCTGAAGGCACAAGTTTCCCCTCACACAAACCTCTTTCCCTTGCTAGGTTCCATTTTCCCATTTATCCCTCACAACAACCAAATGTGATCAGTACTTTTATTACTTCCACTTTACTACCCATATGAAACAATCTTTAGAACCCCAATTTGCATCATCAAAGCATGCTATCTATTACAATGTATAGTGTGAACTAAGTGGATAGTGTGCATAGGACGAGGATAGCCTGATATGGTGCTCACCTTTAAAATACATCATCCAAACCCAATTTCCGCTTATAGGCGTCCGAGCTATCCCTGCATTTCCCTCATTTGACAACTCTGAACATCAGTTAAGAGTTAACTGCTCTCACTTCATCATCTTCCCAATCATCTCTAGGGCTTCCACAAATGGCTTTGGTGTTTGCTACCCTCCAACACTCTACTGACAGCCATCAGGAATTTAACTGTCAAACAGAATAGTTTCCATCTTTTAAAAATACAGTGTCTCACGTAGTTCAGGCTGGTATTGAATTCACCAAGTAGCTGAGGATGACCTAAACTCCTGAGCTCCCACCTGTCTCTGGAGTGCTGGGATTACAGGCACAGTACAGGCCCTGGCTGCATTTAAAACCATGTAAATACCTGCATGGTAATGTTTTGGTCAATTTGACGGACAGCATATACGATGGTGTATACCATACAGTCTTGGTTTGCCAACAGGCTAGTCTACCTGGCTTTGTGTAAGTAAACTCTACGGTGTTTGCAGAGCAGTGAGACTGCCTAACAAAGGGATTCTCAGAATGCATCCCCATTACTAGACAATGCGCAGCTGCAGAAAAGACCCAATACTCTCCGCTTTGAGTTAGAAGTTAAGTTCAAATCTAAGTCACGGATGACTAGCTATACATAACTTCACAAATATCAGGGCAGTTTTTTAGAAATATTTTTTAGCTTTTATTATTTTTATATGTAGAGTGTTTGCCTTCTTGTAAAGTCTGTGCACATGTGTGCAGTGCCCATGGAGGCCAGAAGAGGGTGCTGGGTCCTCCTGGACTGGAGTTACAGATTCATGTGCATCTCCATGTGCTGCTGGGAATTGAACCCAGGTTCTCTAGAAGAGTAGCCAGTGCTCTTAACCAATAAGCCACCTCTTTAGGCCCTGAAGCCAACTTTTAAAAACATTATTATTATTATTATTATTTTAAAACTATGTGTATGGGTGTTTTGCTTGCATGTAGTTGATATACCACATGTGCGCAGTGCCCAAGGAGGCCCGAAGGGGGTGCCAGATCCCCTGAAACTGGAGTTACATATGGTTGTGAGCTCCCATGTGGGAACGGGCAACCAAATTCGGGTTCTTTGGAAGAGTAGTCAGTGCTCTTAACCACTGAGTCACTTCTTCAGCTCCAATTACGATGATGATAATGACTATGATGTGTGTCTGAAAGTGCAGGGGAGTGTGCAGAAGGGAGAGGCCAACTCTCAGGGACTGTTTCTCTCCTTCCACTGGGGGATCTAGGATCAAACTCAGGTTGTCAGGTTGGCATGGCAAGTGTTTTTTGCCCACTGAGTAACCTCACTTGCCCATGGCAACTCTTTGATATAATGTTTTATTATATCTCTACAATCGCCCTATGAGATAGGAACTACCTAAGTTAAAAAAAAATCAATGTCCCTGTGTATTAAATAATTCAAGGTTGTTTAAAGGAAGGAATATATAACCTTTGCCCTTGGCTCCTGGAATGTGATCTCTAGGCTCCTGTGATGTCCTCCCTGATATTTACTGTCTTAGGTCACACTGGATGATCTAACTATGAGTTATGATGGGAGATTATGGTCATATGGTATCAGCTTGACTTCTACCAGGGTTGGACACTGAGGTCAGACATGTGGAGAGTTGAGTATACCTACACAGTAAGTCCTAATGTCCCTGACTGGCAGTCTCTACATGCTGTGACCTGTCACTGCTAGGAGGAGGTGACACTATGATTTCACTGGGACAGACACCAGAAGCTCTGTGTTAGGAATCCCCCTGGATGCTGCCCTGCAGGGAGAACTGCAGCTTTCAGTGAGATCCAGCAAATCATCAAACCTGCACAAGGTCCCAGGGACACCTAAACTTATAACTGGTGTGAGAAGTGAGGGCAGCATTGGGGACGACTCCCCATCGGCAGCCCCAGATGGAAAGGGTTTATTTTATCTTACAAGTCTCAGGTCATACTCCATCACCAAGCGAAGTCAGGGCAGGAACTCAAGTCCAGACCATGGAGTGGGTGCTGCTTACTGGCTTGCTCCTTACAGCTTGCTCAGTCTGCTTTCTTATACAACCCAGGACCACCCACAGTGAGCTGGGCCTCCCACATTAATCCTTAGTCAAAACAATACTTCACAGACTGGACTACAGGCCAATCTGATGGAGACATATTTTCAATTAAGATTTCCTCTTTCCAGATTAAGTCTAGGTTTGTGTCAAGTTGATAAAAACCAACCAGCACGCTAACCATGTTAGCTGTCAACAAAAGGAACTTGGTTGGGCTTTGGACTTTCTATAAAGATAATATTTATTCTCTTCTGTCAATCTAAAACACGCTCCCAAAGCGTACTGATGTTTGGCTTAGTATAGTTTTTGAAGTACTCTAGTTTCACGGTCCTGACTCTCAACATTCCAACGCCTTGCCTTCCCCACATCTGTCCTGAATAAATGTTAATTTTCTTTTCCTCTCTGTAACTTAGCTTGATATTTGACTGGAGTTACATTCAAAGTTAAATGAAAAAGAGAATGTGGTCACTAGCAAGGTATTTGACTTTTCTCCCTTTCGCTTTCTTTTATTTTTCTGGCTGCTGCTGCAGCTGCTGCGGCCTTGTCTTAGTTAGGATTACAATTTTGGTGATAAAACATCATGACCAAAAGCAGGTTGGGGAGGAAAGGGTTTATTTGGCTTACACAGTCCACTGAGGGGAGCCAAGGCAGGAACTCAAACAGAGCGGGATCCTGGAGGCAGGAGCTGATGCAAAGGCCACGGAGGGGTGCTGCTCACTGGCTTACTTGCTCAGCCCAATTTCTTATAGAACCCAGGACAACCAGCCCAGGGACTGTTGTGGGATATTACATCACACTGTGACACTCAGAGACTGTTAATAAAATTAACCTTGAATCCAGGGCAGAGCCAGCGACTAGCTGACAGGAATTACCCATAGAGAAGCCAGGAATTTAGATAAGATAAAAGTCTTATTGCAAGATTTAATAGATATTAGCAGTCTGGAGGCATAGATAAGCTCTACGAACCAATCATATCGCAAACTCACTAAAGAGTAACATTTAAGAAATAATTTGCCAATTGTATCATGTTGAAAGTTAACTCAAAATATCCTACGTTAAACATTTTTGAGGTTAATTAGAGTTCTTCAAGAAGGTAATGCAAGAGAGGGCTAAACGCAAGGACTGGATTAGGGAGCTTGGTTAGTGAAAAAGAACAGGTGGGGGGCAGCACCACAAAGCCTCAGCTGGGGCAGCAGTCGGATCCCCAAATGAAGGGAGAGGGGAAGGAGGAGGCCGAGAGGTGAGAACGCAATTACTAAGAGGCCTTTATCAAAACATGTGGTAGAGCAAGCAGCTGACTGTAACAGCACTCTAATTTCTCTCAAAGTTCCTTTTGGCACAACTCTCTTATGTCTTGGGTTATGTACTGTCTTTTCCCTAAGCATTCCTTCCTTAATGCTTGTGTTTAAATCACTATGAAAAGTGTTTGTGCACCCGCGCAAATGTTCGTGGAGGTCGGAGGTCGAGGGTGGGTGTCTTCCTCAAATGCTTTCTACTTTAGTTTTTGAGGCAGGGTCTCTCACTGCACCTGGAGAGCTCACTGACTAGCTAGCCAAGGAGCTCCAGGGATCCCTGCCACTTTGCCTGCCCAGCACCGGGATTTTAGGTGCACTTATGTGTCATCTT